GCCCTCCCCACCCCCAATCTTCTTGCTTGTATTCCCAGCGGAGTACAGAAGTGAGAATAGGAAAAAAAAAAAGAAAGAATAAAGTATTACAACTTGGCAAACGTTTTACGGTTCTTACAGATACGGGCTTTCATTGTTGTTTTCTTTCTTTCTTTCTTAATTTTAATGTTTATGTGCGTTTGTTTTTCTTTTAATATTATTAATATTACTAATATTATTATTAACATTAATATTATTAACATTATTATTAATATTATTGAGTGGGAAAAAAGGTTCTCCTGCTGGAGGTGTAATAACATAACAGGAGGTAAAGAAGCGTGGGAAGGAGTTCATCACTGTATTCTACACCCTGGCTGTAATAATAGGAGAAACCTGTACAAACAGAAGAAAGAAAAAAAGAAAAGAAAATTAAAGGGAAGCGGTTGGAACAGAGAAGAAAAAGCAAAAAAAAAAAAAACAATTGCGAAAACTTAGAAACGGTTGAAATATTTTAGAAAATGGAAGGAGGAGGGAATTTGAACACAGGTAGTGGAAGAGACGCCGAGGAAAGAAATAGACAAAATGAAAGTAAAGGGTGGAGGTTGAGAAGGAAAAGAAAAGAAAAGAAAAAAAAAAACAACTGAAAAAAAGAAGAGGTGTCCATCGTAAATATATGTAGAAGGGGATGTAAGTAAAGGTGTAGGGTCTATCACACCTCAAGACAGCAAGTGTAATTATATACATTTGTAGTTTGTCCATTCCTTGTGTGTGTAAATATATATGTGTGTGTGTGTGTGTATTTATTTATTTATTTATTTATCTGTATATGTGTTGAGGGAGAGGAGAAGAAGTAAGATGCTGTACAGTTGTACATACATACATATATACAAGTGTACGGAGGGAGAGAGAGAATGGGGGAAGGAAATCAAAAAAAAAAAAAAAATAGGTCTTCGTGATTCCTCTCCTACTATCGTTTTCTCCTTTTCTTCTTATAGCTTTCCTCTCCATTTTTTTTTTTTTGATTTGGCTTGTAAAAATACAGCCACCGCAATACCCCAGTAAGGAAAAACAGAAGCAGAAGGACATATATATATATAGTAGCACGAGTTTGTGCGCAATTCCTTTTCCTCATTTTTTTCTTTGTTTTTATTTTTTTTTTCGTTTTGTTTCGTTCTTTTCCTACTTCATTCGCATATTCCTGGTTGGTATTCTTCCCTCTATAAAAAAAAAAGAAAAAAACCTGCTTTTCTTCAATACAAATACTCCTACCTGCACAATAGCCTATGATGTTGGCTTCCATAGGCTCTACTTTAATGGCTTGATGAATTAACTCTTACTTCCACTTATACTTTCCACTTTTTCTTGATTTATTGTATCTTATTGTTAATATCTTTAGCGTGTGTTTTATTTCTTTTAGGAAGTGGGCAGTGGTACATTGAATGAAATGTCGTCCTATGCTGCGGTGGGGCGTGCCTTTGCACTCCTCAGCGCTGCTCTCTTCGGTGGAGCTGTTGGAATGCTAACACAGCGTAATAGCAATATCAACAACAGCGGCAGTAGAGGTCAACTCCAGCAACAGCAAGAGGAAAACTCCGTTGCTGTTTATCACAATGAATCACTGAATACATCACAGCTTTCTCCAGCTGCGCAGAAGATGATGAGTAAAGGTCTTCCCTCAGATGAGAGGGTGCGTGTGTTTGATGGATTTATTGCGAGTCTCAACTATGAACGGCGGGTGCCTAATTGGGTACTGGAGTACATCCCCCCAATAGACCCCACAAACAGAGATGATAAGGAAAAAGAAAAGGAAGAGGATCCAAAGGCGGTACGACGAGAGGGAATGAAATTCTTTGCAGACCCAACCGTACCAGAACCATTTCGAGTTCTCCCTGATGACTACAGTGGTGGTAAACAAGAACAACAACAACAATACACTCGAGGTTTGAGTCGAGGACACCTTGCCGCTGCGCAGTTCCACAAACGTACTGCTGATGAAATGGCCCAAACGTTTAACATGAATGCTAATATTGTACCGCAGGATATGACAATGAATGCTGTTGATTGGCTTCGACTGGAGAATCTCACACGGAAATTGCGGCGGCACTACGAGGGTGGATTGTGGGTAGTCACTGGACCTCTTTTTCATCCACGTCTCGTACATGGTGAACCCCGTTCATGGGGATGGGATGATTCCCGTCCTTCATCTCCCATAACTCCTATTCACACAGAAAATAACAATAGTGATAATAACGCGAGTAACACACGAAAGGTGGTGTGCTACGAACTCGTTGGTAAGCATGATGTAGCGGTACCAACACATTTGTTTAAAGTACTCCTTGGTGAACGGGGGGATGGCAGTCACGAAATTGCGGCATTTTTAATGCCAAATGAACCTATCGTTGTGGAGCGGCCACTTGTATCTTATCAAGTCCCTGTGCGTGAAATTGAGCACAAGACGGGATTGCAATTCTTTCCAAACGTTATCTCTACAGATACTGTGAGATCAGCGACATCATGGAGAAGGAAGGTCAACAATAATACCCATCCACAAGTTTTAGACCCGTTGCCAAATATTTGTAGACGTTTTCAATGTGAAGCACGCACAGTGGCACTTTTTCAAACATACAGAAATGTGGCCCGGCTGCGTGCGGCGCAATCAGAGCCGGAACTACAAGAGGTACTTTTAACAATAATTGAGGAGCAACAACGTCAACAAAAAAATTCAAACCCACAAGCACAAGTACAAGAAGCAAAAGAATATTGGGGCAAGAATAAAGAAAACCTAGCATTAGATGCCGCTGTTGTAAAAGAATATGACGAACGCAGGAAAGAGCTGCTAGGACAATCAGAGTTGTGAGTTTAAGATAAAAGCAGAAAAAAAAACAAAAAATAGGACAATACTAACGGGTACACTTGTTTACGTGAGTACACCAGGAAAAAACTCCTTTTAACTTTTTTCACATCTCCCGCAATAAAAGATTTCATGAAAATCAACATAAGAATTTCCACAACGGTAGGATGTGTGTGATTCAAGTCGCACGCAAATACATGAATCATGGGAAGAAAGAAAAAAAAAAAAAAAACATGATTTTTATTGCCTTCCTCAATAACAATACACACTATGTCCCGTTTCCATCATGCCATTTTGCACTTAACAATACGAAAACATTTCTCTCTCAGCACAACACCACAACCATCCACCCCCCACCCCCACAAAAAAACACACCAGAACAACAACTGAGAAAAAATTAAATTCATGGTAAAATATCAAATTTAAGTAAACGATTAACACATCAGGACATTGCTTCTCCTGCACCCTCATATCTTACTAAAAACAATATAGCCCCACGATACTCCGTCGTAAGTAGAAAATGGATACACGACAGCTCCCAAACTGCATAAGAAGAGACAACTTTTCCCACATGGGCTCCTTTACCATTTTGCATGCCTCTTCTGGTAGTTTCCAGCAAAAATGAAAACAACAAACACTGGAGTGATCTACTCTAGTACCTATATTCACTCTGATGCTGTGATGGTGTTGGTGACCATGGTCGATTGAGGTGGCATTGAAGGACTGCTTTGACGGCTTCTGGCAGAGTATTTGCGCTGCAGCTGCCTCTTTCTGCTGCCCCTCCAACTCTCCTTGTCCATAGTGTTTGTGTATGTGTGTTGGGTTGTGTATTGTGTTCTGTGTACCACTCGACAGCTGGCGTGTCACTCTTCTTTTCCTCCTTTCCTCTTTCTTTTTTCTTCACTCTCCACACAGTCTTTGCAAGCTTCTCAGTAAATACAGAGTTATGCACAATTCGTACGCGCGCGCCCTGGTGCGCTGCTATTCCCCGCACACCCCGGTGCTCACACTGCTGCTGCTGTTGCTTCTGCTGAGTTGTACCGCCGGGTGCCTCGCCAGTACTCTCCCCCGCTTTATGCACGAGAAGGTAAGACAGGTGAACAGGCAGGTGGTGGTGGTGCGGAATACGCCTCTTAGGGGGCAGAGCGGCGTGCAGGCATACACCGTTAGTGCCGACCCTAATGGCGTCACTGACACGGGCGACGAAAACAATGCTGCCACGGGCGACGGTAAGCAGACTGACAAGAGCGAGAATAGCGGGACTGTCACGGTCGAGAAAAACAGGACTGACATGGGCGACGAAAACCTGACTGACACGGTCGACGTTAACAAGTCTGACAAGGAAGACGATAACAAGGCTGACAGAGTCGACGATAAGCAGACTGGCACGGGTGACGATAAGCAGACTGCCACGGTCGACGGTAACAATCCTAGCACGGTCGACGTTAACAATGCTAGCACGGTCGACGAAAACCAGAGTGACACGGGCGACGTTAACAGGACTGAAACGGACGACGGTAACAATGCTGACAAGGGCAACGATAACCAGACTGGCACGGTCGATGATAACAAGACTGACAAGGGCGACAAAAACCAGACTGGCACGGTCGACGGTAACAGCACTGAAACGGGCGACGAAGACCAGACTGACACGGTCGACGATAAGCAGACTGGCACGGGCGACGGTAACAAGACTGACACGGACGACGAAAACAAGAATGCCACGGGTGACGATAACAAGACCTGGGCGCCGATCCGCATCGAGACCTTTGCGAAGGACATGGAGAACCCGAGAAAACACTGTACAACCCATGGGCAAACTCTTGTTGATCAGATGATGAATACGGTACATTGTGATGATAACGGTGTACTGACGGTAAGAAAGAAGAGGATCCTTCTGGAGCGAGTCATTCCCGCAGCAATTAAACTGCACAGGGATCGTCTCTCTGTTGTTCCGGTGACAGGTACCATTGTGGTGCCAAGGAAGAACATAGGGTACTGCGATAAATTTAACATCCCTGAGGAACACCACACCACTGGGCTGAAGGGTGCCGATTTATATCTCTACATCAACACTGTGCAGTCATGGTTATTGGGGTGGGCAAGTCCCTGTGCATTTTTGGATGATGGACGCCCTATTCTTGCTGCTATCAACCTGAGTCCCACCTATATAGATGCCACAGAATTATATGTTCGTGCAGTTGCACATGAGATTGCACATGCTCTTGGTTTTAGCATCCATAACTTTCTCAAACGGAACATGACGTCTTCACTTATTGGTGTACGGGAGAAACCTAGAGTGATAGTCATAAATACTACGAGGGTGATGGACGAGGCAAAGAAGCATTTCGGATGTCAAGACGTCTTTGGACTGGAGTTGAAGAGCGAGTTTATTGATGGGTTGGGTCTTTCACACTGGGAGCAGCGTACCTTGAAGGATGATTTGATGTCCCCTAANGTTGCCTCTGTTTGTAAAGAGTGGCATGGCATTACAGTGATGTAGGCAGTCATTTTTGTTATGGTTGTGAGTGAGTGGGTTTTAGATTCCAATTGTGGTGTTGGTATAAATATTATGGTGATGCATTGGTTTCTTTTCTTTTTCCGTTTGGAAGTGTGTTGATTATTATACAGTCTCTTTGTTTTGCTGATGATTTGTGGTATTGTTTTTGTATGTTGCCAGGCGTACACTGTGTTTTTGTTGTTCAAACTGCCTGGTAATGATTTTATTGTGATGAGAATACAGACACACTTTCTGTGTATGAATACCGAGTAAGATATTGGAGTGTGTGTAGAGACGTTTATTCAATATTGTTTTGATACCATTTGTTTTCCACTTCTTCTAAATTCAAGGTGTTGTTTCAATATTTGTGTAACTCTGGGTGTGTTTTATTGGGTGAGTGGTTTATTGTTGTGTTCCCCTCATTGGGTTGTTGTTTGATTGCTGTTGTGGTGTGTCCTCTCTTTCTTTGTGTGTTGATGTGTACCCACTGCCGTGTGTGTTAAATGTGCGTCTCTTTTCTCCTTTTCCTCTTCTTCCTTGTTACCACAGACCCAGGCAACTCACAGTGACATTCATGACAACGATGTTCGTCCAACTGCGTGGTGTGGTGTACCTGTTGGTACTTCTGCAGTGTTGTGTGTGTGTGGCACATGCAACCGACGGTCAGAGTACTGTTGAGAATGCGGAGGGGGAATTAAAAAAATGGGTGAAGAAGGCAGACGAACTTTTGGGGAAGGGAAGGGGGTGTGTGACGGTATGGAAGAAGGAAGAGGAGTCATGCAATGGAAGAATTTCTCCCACCAAGAGTGTTGCCGATGGCACTCATAGTCTTGTTACGGAAATAAAGAAAAAACTGGGAGGTGGTGTGATAACCAAAGATCAGGGGACCGGTGATGATGATCTCGTGGAAAAGGCCAAAAAAGCGATGCAGAAGACTCAAGAAACAGTAAACGAGACGAAGGCAATACTGGCAGAAACTGCGGTAGTAAATATACAATGTTCCTATATCCTTGAGGAATGGCGACAAGAGATGGAGAATAAGGACGGGGCACGAAAGCACTACGTAAGTGTGATTAAAGGCGCAGAAGAAAAATACAGGACGCCAGAGAGAATAGAACTGGTTGAGGAAAGCAACAAAACGCATAAGGTATTGTCTGACGTCATGGGTGAACTCGCCGTTGCTTCTAAACGGAGTTCTTCGTGCACGCGGGTTGTCAAGCAGCATCAAGAGAGAGCGGAGCGTGCGATGAAAGAACTCGAGGGAGTTAGCGGTGATGTTGTGGAACAAATTAAGGAAGCCAGAACACACAATGCAACGGTTCCGAGGGAGTCTACCGTAAAGGCGAGGCTGGATGTTGAGTGGGAAGAAGAAGCACAGGCAATCGTAAAAGCGAAGGAGGAAGAAGAACAAAAGAAGAAACAGGCAGCACTGGAGAAAGCACAAGCTGAACAGAGGTTACTCGCGGAAAAAGAGGCAAAAGAAAGGGAAGCGGAACTGGAAGAGCAAAAGAGACGGGCTAGGGAGCAGGAGAGAATGGCTCAAGAAGAATTGGATAGGAAGAAAAAAGCAGCAGCAGAAGAAGAAGCGGAGAAGAGAAAAGCCGATGAAAAAAGAGCCCAAGAAGAAAAGACTAAACAAGATCAAGAGAGGAGGGATGCAGAGGAAAAGGCTCAAAAGGCTAGAGAAGCATTGGAGAGAAAGGAAAAAGAACAGCTGGAACGGGCAGCGGAAGAGGCGAGAAAAAAAGCAGAAGCGGCTAAGAAGAATGACAACAGCCACCACAGTCCTGCATTGGTGCAGAGTCCCTTATTGTTGATTCTGTTATGTGTGTTGGGTTGCACTCTCGTTTGCTAAGCGGTGTTCCCATGACACAGTTGCACAGTTAATATTTATTTGAGTGGATATGGATGCATTGTAAGGAAACTGTTCTTTTTATTGAATTTTGATGTTCCTTTTTTCAGTTCGATAAATCTCATGTTTGCATTTTTTACTGAACAAATCTATTGGACTCCCTATGGCACTCATCACATGACAAACCATTATTATGTAAGGGAGTGTCCTCTTTGTTTGTTTGTTGGCATTATTGACTGGTCTCTGTTTTGCCACCATATACTGTGCCCGCCTGGTGATGTGTGTGCGTGTGTTCCGTGATATTAATAACTATTGCTTTCACCCATGGGAATGGTATACAATCCTGATGTGTTTTAATTGCTGTGACTGAAATGTGAAGAATGGCAGGAGGTTCAAGACACACAAACACGCACACTACCAACCCTCCTTCTCTTTGTGTGTGTGGACTGTCATCATGTGTGCATCATTCCCACTGCTCGCCCTGTACGAAAGACACACACACACCTACTGCAGGGAATTGTGTTGGTTGCCCCCTGAACATATTCACATGATGATCACGGCTTTTTTCTTTTGTTTCCATTTTATTGTTTTTCCCTTGTGTGTGTGTTTCATTATCATTTCATTGCACGTTATGTGCATCTGTGTGTTTCTCTTTTGCGTTTCCGGTACACCTTGTGTATATTGTGTGTTCATTTTTATGGAATGATTTTTTTTTTCATTATATACAAACTGCTGCACGGATATCAAGAATAAAGATATGGGAACGGCACGTTCAGTATACAATGATTTCCCGTTGTTAACCTTGGGGTGGATTGGACTGTGTCCAGGCATCGCAGACACAGAAAGTAATGAATTTCTTTTTTTGTTTTTTTGCTCTATTATTGTGTCTGCCTCACGCAGTCACTCCTTTTTTCTGCATTTTTATTTTGGTATAAAGGTTGGTGGGCTGTAGGTGTTTGAGTGTGCCCATCTGTTGTGTGTTCCTTTGTGTGTTTGGGTTGACACTCACACCGCCCACGTAATAAGAACACATTTCTTTGTTCTCACCTTCTCTCTCGGTGGTGTCACTCACGGTATTGCCACGAACATATTTCTGCCCCTGTGGTGTGTGTTGTGTGGCTTGCTTGAGTGACTGCAGCCTGCGGGGAGGGACTGAGACTGTTCCGCTACGGCTTCACGTAATGGATCTGTTTTTTTCTTTTCTTTTTTTGGGGTTGAGTTGATGTGCTGGTGTGGGTGAATGTTTTCCTCTGATGGGAGTGGCAGCTGTGATTATTGTATTGTGAGTGCTTTGTGTGAGGTTGGTATCCTGTTGTTGTTGTTGTTCTTTTCTTGTGTTTTTCTTTTCCTCTCTCTGTAGGTGTGTGACTCCGTGTACGTTTTAGGGAATGTCGTGGTATCTCTCTGATATGAGCATGTGAGACTGTCATTGTGTGTGTGCACTGTGAGTGGGAAGGACACTTTGTGTTGCTGGACCACTCCACTGCGGCCTCTGTGGGGTTTGTGTGTGAGTGGCATGCTTCGCTTCGGCGGGGCTCGAGGGGCACTTTACGTCCCGAGGCGCTGAACCCTGAGGCCTGAAATGTCATGCTCAGGGACTTTGAACTTGAGAGAAAAAGAAGAGTGAGGATGAGGAAAAGAAAAAGGGGATGAAACCCGGCAACCAGTCTACGCGCGCAGTGCTCGAGGCTCGTTGTCGGGTTTTGCCCTTTTCTTTTTTTAACCCTCACCCCAAGAAGGGGGAGGAGAGAACACACAACCTCCACAACCCAAGGCGGGCGGCCAACTTGTCAGCGCCTCGTGCGCAACAAGAAAAAGAGGGGTGGGGAGGCTCCCGGGGGTGTTTCACTTGTGAAATGGGTGGGGTTGGGCATAGTGGAAAACTCTTGCTTACCCTACTTCAACGCTGAGTAAGATGGGTTTGAAAGGTATTCCGCAAAGATGACCCTTCCCCGTTCCCCTCGCGACATGGTGTGGCCATTCAACCGCACCTTTTACTCCGTGGCACGGTGCGCGCCATAAAAATCGAATTCCACCAATGGGCAATACAAAACAACGAAAACAAGAGACCTTCCGGCATTAGTCTGTCCCTCATGCGGTCGTCATTGTGTATGAGTAAATCGGGCCTAACTCTACACCGAATGTCACGTCACGGGTATCAACCTATTCGCGCGCACACCAGCCAACGTGACGAATGCGACGAAACAGCTCTGCATCTCTTGAGTTGCCCCACTCTTTATCCACTGCGAGTTCAATTTGCGATAGTTGATGATGTACCCCTGATGAAACTATGTTTTTCTAAGCGGTTAGCACAGTTCCTAATTGCGGTGGAGCGGAACTTTATTATACCACAGACTTCACAACCAAGAAACCCTACGCAGCCTACCTCCCCCTCTGTAAGGCCTCCCCACCTCTCTAAAATCAGCGACGAGCTCAATCATGGAAACCCTGATAGAAGAGTAAGCTCAAGACGTCTGTCGCCGACCCAACAAGCAACAAAATAAATAGGAGTTCATTGAGGCCAATCCATTACAAAAAAAACCCAAAAATAACAAAAAATAATAACAAAAAGGAGACTTGAGGATGGTTTCTGGGTAAGAACAGTGAGAGTAGAGAGATCTGGTGGGGTTTACTCGATCAGATTTCTCTTAGACTGGTTCTCTCGTTTGGGAACGGGCCACAACAAAAATCATATTACAAGAGCTTGAGGATCCTATAAAATGATTGATCTTCCTCTTCAGAGCCACTCCTAAGTCAGTAATTAGATGCTCTACGGTGGACAGGTTTGTGTGCAAGGAGTCTTTGGTATTGTGTGGTGTAGTTGGATTTTGGGTTTTTTATTTGTTTGACTATGTATCATACCTCATTACATGGATAGCAGTCTTTTGGGTAAGGTTGGGGAGTGGGTGTACTGTTTAGTATGAATATTCTCTGGAAAGGGGATTCAAGTTGTTTCCCTGACTTTGGTTTGTGGTTGTGTGCAGCAGGCGTATTAACCTTTTTTTTCTTTTTCTGTGGCAATGAAAAAATTAGTTAAAACTTCTCTTGGTACTTGATGTACTCCTCGAATGTGATAAAGGCTCAAATTAACGCTACCGATCTTTAACGCGATGTAATGATGTTTGTTTTTATCTCTGAATTTATGTTTGGCTTCTTGGTTTTTGTAAAGATTTATTCTCTTCTCATATTTTTTTTTCTTTTTCTGCTACCCTTTCCTCTCTGACAGGTTTCCTTTACAATATTGCAAAGAAAAAAAAAATAATAATAATAATAATAATAATAATAATAATAATAATAATAATAATAATAATAATAATAATATAATGTCAAGAAAGTTTTCTTTGGTTGTACTTGGAGCAACAGGATACACTGGTAAACTGGTTTGCCAGTATATTTCAAGTTTGGATGCGAGTTCCATTGGATCTTGGGCAATTGCAGGTCGAAGTGAAGAAAAACTCAATGCACTAAAAAAGGATTTGTGTATGGATAACATCTCCGTTCTTGTTGCAGACCTTGCAAACCCTGGCTCCCTAGACAAGGTATGCTCAAGTACTACTGTACTCATTTCTTGTACTGGCCCTTTCACATTGGTAGGGATGCCTGTTGTGGAATCATGCATTCGCTGCAAGACGCACTATGTGGACTCCACCGGTGAATTCAATTTTGTTCGACAGGTGGCAGAACGGTTTCATGAAGAGGCAAAGAAGGAAGGAATTACACTGGTATCTTGCTGCGGATTTGACAGTGTTCCCGCTGACCTTGGCAATTATGTCGTGCATCAAGCACCGGGTGTGGAGATGAAAGAAGTGCGAGCATTTTATCAGCTCTCATCAAGCGGTATCTCAGGAGGAACGGCACACTCCATCATGGCACTTTATGAGGCTTGCGCACCAGAAGATATGGATCCATACTCACTGGTGCCAAAAGACGCCCCACGGCCTGTTGAGGCTCCTTCTCAAAGGGGTATATGGTATGATTCTTCAGAAAAGATGTTCACTGCTCCCTTTCTCATGTCTGCCACCAATGAGCGTGTGGTTCGCCGCACAAATGCACTGCTTGGATACAACTGCACTTATATGGAAGCTGTCGAGGGGTCGGTTGGCTCGGTTGTCATTGCCACACTCTCAGCTTTTCTGATGAAAGCGATCGGTGCTATACCCTTTATTCGCCGCTACGCTGCTGCCCATTGGATTCCATCACCTGGCACTGGCCCTACAGAGGCAAAGAAGGCATTGGCATGGTACAAGTGTACTTTTGTTGGTATTGATGCGGCAGGAAATAAACGACGGAGAGTACACCTTTCAGACAAGAGGGATATGTATACAGCCACTGGTCTTTACATAACTGAGTCTGCACTCAGCTTGCTTCAGAAGTCGAAGGATGGTACACTGAAATCTGGCGTTCTTACTCCAATGGCGGCTTTTGGTGATTGTCTCCTTCAACGCGTTCAAAAGGCAGGAATAAATGTACAGGTGGTCGATGAGGCAAATGAAGCCGTTACCTCCTCTACAAACTAGTATATAAAATAGTATATAAAAGAGCGTTCTATGAATAATATTATTGGGTGTTGTGTGTGTTTTTTTTTTTCCGTCTAGACCTTCACTGTGTTTGGGGCGAGGATCGTTTTTTTTGTTTTTTTTGTTTTCGCTATGCTTGGTTGGTTTGTTTTTTTTTTTTATGTGGATTCCAATTATTGATCTACTCTACCTTTAATTGGGTTATGTCCTTCTTTTTTCTCTCTGTTCTTGTTCTTCTGTCTTTTTCGTTCCCTCTTTCTTCTCATCGCTAGGGATATGACGGCAACGAAGAGACGAACGACACAACTCTTGACGTTGTGGATAGCATGGATATTGTGCACCCTGTTCACCAGCGTGCTGGTGTGGGGAGAACGTTTTGATGCGTCTCCATCATATAATGAAGAGCGAGTGCGTCTAGTTACTTGTTGTGATCTTGTAGAAAAACACTGGTCTCTGCTGTACAGCTGGCATAGCAGCTGTGTTAAGAAGAATGTGGGACTTGAGGGAATTGCCCGCCGATTCTGGGTATCCCCACCCCCAGCGGAGCTTACGAGTAGTGTTCCGATGTGTGTTGAACGGGGACAATCCCTTAGCGTTGAATTTCTTAAGGCTTTTCTTGAGAAGCGACTGTGTGTTGGTCTTCCGGTGACGCACACAGAGTTGGTGAGAAGTGTGTACAGCGTTTTTGTTGCAGAGAATCCGCTGAGTGAAGATGAATTGGTCACACTTATTGAAGAGGCGTGTGTGAAAGTACAGCAAGTGGGAATTAAGACATGGCGTCGCTCATTAGATGTACAGACGGTTAAGGAAGCACAGCAAATTGTGTGTGCTCACCATTGTCCTAATAAGCAGACTATTTTTGATGGTGATATTTATGATCTTTAAGGTCATCTCAACTGGTGGTAACTTATTTGGGCTATTATTGGATCCTCTATAATATTGTTAGGAGCTGAATAAAATTGTTAAGAGAATAACGCCCAAAGCAAAAAAAAATATGTCTTTCAAGGTGGTAATATACAAAAAGACTGTAGAGAGAGAAAGAGAAAGTTACAGTAGGTGTATGGTTTTGCTGATGGAACCATTTTGAATACATGAGAGTTAAGAGAGAGTTTTTGTTTCTTTTTTTTTTTTATGAATTCATTGCTTTTTTTTTTGTTTTTACTCCCTTGTCTCATTGGTTTCTATTGCCTTTCGTTTTCTCCATTCTTTACAGCGGAGGAAGAATGGCATTGCATTAGGTAGAGAGATAATGAATCTCTTCTCTATTATGAGGGAAAAGGGTGGTGTTGGGGGTAGGTATGAGAGATACGCTTGACCCTTTTTCTCTTGTGAGTGCTTTGACTACTATAAAGAATAGAGGATAACATGATATAAATTACAATAAGTGGATTTTGATCGTTTTGTTTTTTTTTTTTCGATTTTTCTTTCTTTCTTCTTTTTGTTTTTGTGATGGGGGACTGGAGTGCAGCAGCAGCAGCAGCAGTAGCAGGGGCGCGCGTGGAGTGAAGAAAGGAAGCAGAAGAAGAAGGGCCAATAAAGAATAAAAAGAGAAAGAGTCCTTTTTTTTTCTCTAGTGACAACAAGAGCGCGAGAATACGTACGGATAAATAAATAATATAACTATATAATAAACTACTCTTCAGTAAAAGAAGGGATATATTTGTAAAACAGAAAAGAAAAAAGAAAGAAAAAAAAAAGCAACACCAAATAATAACACACAAAGAGTAACAGCAAAAACAAACAAACAAAGAGAAAAAAAAAGAAAGACAAAAAAAAAACACAGAGATGACTTCAGTTACACGTACCCAAGCCTCTGCAGCGCGGCGGAGTTTCTGGCATCTTATCGGTGTTGGTACTCTCTGCGCAGGCACAACCGCTGGTGGTGGTGTACTGCTGTATTATCGCTTTGTCTGGCTGCCGGAACAACGCCGGATTACGCACCAACAGCAAATGTTAAAAATTCGACCACCGGTGCGCCGCACAAGTCCATACATCGCTGGTGGAAATAATACACTATTAATAGATGAATCGCTGCTGAATATGCCGAGAATTCTCTTTTATGGTTTAGTGCTTGTACGTATGTTTATGCTGGCACTTCATGCGGTGCCGGTGTTATGGTATGCCTTTCTCACCTATGGGCTTCACTTGTGTGAGGAGCGTATTCTATTTGATAAGGTGCGGGATGCTCTTACCAATATGGGTCCAAGTTATATTAAGTTTGGACAGTGGATGGCTTCTCGACCAGACTTTTTTCCCCCAACGTTGTGTGATTCATTAGAGAAATTGTATGATGATACCCCACCGCATCGTTGGTCCCATACAGAGAAGATTCTACGCCGTACATTCCGTGAGATGGATACTCCTGAAATGATTGGAAATTCTGGAGAAACTGCAGGAAAGGTGACGACGACGATGATGAAGAAGATGACATCTGATTCGGATACAAAAGGAACAGGATCAGAAGTGGAAACATCATTGATTCCTCATCGTAAACAAGAAGAAAAAGAAAAAAAGCAAAATGCACTGCATTATTTACATGAGATTGAGAAATTGCCTGTTAATAGTGGCAGTATTGCGCAGGTTCACCGAGGGGTATTACGTGAGGATGTGGATGGTATTCCTGCCGGTACAGAAGTGGCTATTAAAGTCACACACCCACGCATTCGTGAGTGTGTTGCTGCCGACTTGATTGCCATGCATTGGTTTGTTAATCTTCTCACATTTTTAGTTCCTAGTGCGGCATATTTTGATCTACACACCAGTTTGTATGAATTTTCATCATTAATTCGCTCACAATTAAATCTAAGACAGGAATGTGATAATTTACTGCAGTTTATTTATAATTTCCGTGACTTCCCTGGTGTGATATTTCCTAAACCACTTCCCTCCCTCTGTACAGAGGATGTACTTATTGAGACATTTGAGGAAGGTCGTCCCTTGCAGGAACTTAAAAGCAGTGATGAATTGTATGATGTTGCTGAACGTGGATGTCATATGTTTCTTAAAATGCTTTTTGAAGATAACTTTGTACATTCTGATTTACATCCTGGTAATCTTCTACTACGCACGAATCCCGGCGCACCACTCTACGCCTCTCCGTTATCCACAGGAGGAGGAATTCATAATAATGATAATAATAATAATAATAGTGGTGCTGGTGTATATCCTGATGGAAAGGTGAAGTTACGGCATGAGTTGATTGTACTGGATGCGGGTCTTGTTACCACACTTTCTAAGGAGGAGCGAAATAACTTTATTTCACTCTTTGCCGCAGTGGCCTGCGGTGATGGTGATCTAGCTGCAGATCTCATGTTGGACCGCATGCCACAATACAATACTACCGGCCGTCGTAGGAGTAATAATAATAATAATAATAATAATAATAATAATAATAATAGTGGTAGTGGTAGTCGACGTCCTGAAGTAGATCGTATAAAGTTCCGTCATGATATGAATGAAATATTTAGTCTTGTCGCACCAGGTAACTCTAATGGGTTTACATTAAGTAATATTCGTATTGGACCAGTGCTTGCACAGATCTTAAATACATTACGTGAGAATCGAGCGACGATTGATGGAAACTTTGCCTCTCTGGTACTTACCGTTATGGTTGGAGAAGGACTTGGTAGGCGATTAACACCGAATTTCAATATCTTTGCAGAGGCCGCCCCATACTTGGTGGCTCTCTTGGAGGATGGAGAGTTGTACTTTCTCGCCTCTAAGCTGCGAGAGACGTATGGAACCACAACACTATTGCGGGATTCGTTGGGATTAGTGCGGCGTGATCGTGCGGTGACGTATTTTGAAATCGGAACGAAGAAAGTAACAAAGGTGATCAGTCGGTTGCGGGATGCATTGACGGGCTCAACAACATCAACAACAATAATACCAGAAGTTGTTGATGTTAATGTTAATGCTAAAGTAGGTGACAATTTGGCGAATGGAACTTGAGAAGGATGATGATGATGATTGTTATTATTATTATTATAACTGTTATTATTATTGATGGAAGAAGACGAAAAAAAAAAGAGTAAGAAGAAACTGCGGATGATATCTTTTATAGTTGAGCAGACGTGGTTGAAAATTCTTTTTCTTACTGTTTCTATATTTCTCAATCTCTCTTTCTCCTTCTCCGTTTAAGTGAAACGAATAAAAGAGATAAAATATCTCTCTTTGTCTATTTCTCCAATTTCTTTTCCTCTTATGCATTCTGCAGTGTATCGCCTTTCCTATATAAATATATATTTGTATTTATATTATTTATATATTACCGCACATCATTCCATGTGCCTTTTTTTTTTTCTTTTTTACATTTCTTGTTTTCTGCATTTTTATGTGTTATATCTGTCTATTGTTTAGCGTTTTCTACTTCCTACCGTATTTCCTTCATTCTGCATTTATTTATTTATTTTCCTCTTTTGTGTTGTTTGTTTGTTTGGTTTTTTCTTTCTTTGCACTTCTTTTCTTTTCTTTTTTTTACTTTTACATATTCCCCACTAATTCCTCTCTGTACACGCCTAATAGTGTGGTGATATCAGTACGAAAACCAATACACCACAAACATACAAGAAAAAAAAAAAAAGAAAAGAAAGGAAGAAAAAGAAAAAAAGGGAAAAAATGCCTCAATTAAACGGAAAGGATAAAAAGCCTAAATCAAAGAAAAAGAAGCAACCCAAGATTCCACCGGATTTGGATGAACTCTACATTCAATCACTAGATGAAACTCACTATATTTCCAAATCCCAACGTGAATCCATCACCGCTGCCTATATGCAACGTATTGATACCGCTATTAAAGCCTTCACTATTGCCCAGCCGCCTATTGAAACAGCCACACTATTAGAGCGAGAGGAAAAAATATCAAAAGAGATTTTAGCACAAATCCCAATGGTGGCAGTTCCTCATATTGTTCGTGCGGTGGGATTGAACCCCACTACGCAACAGGTACTTCAGATTGGTTGGCTCGTATTCGCTGGTCTTCCTCAACGGGAAGAAGAAAAACAACAACAGCAGCAACAAGAACAAGAAAAAGAAGATACGCAGCAAAAAGGAAAAAAGAAGAAAAAGAAGAGTATTACGGGCAAAAATAAGAATACCACAAAAACAAAAGGAACGGAAGGAACGAAAGTGGATGGTTCACCCGATTCAGAATCAGCTGTACGGCAGATGGTTGTAGATACAACTAGAGATATGCAGTTAGAAGAGGCTATGCGTGCAGCCTTATCCCCTGATAGTGTAGATACCATTCCTATTTCCACTTCTACTGTAATCCCAACAAGTGGAAATGCTACTGTTACTGTTACCACAGGTCCTAGTAATGTTGTTTACGATGCCCCTCTCATGGCAGACCGTCAGAAACTCGAAACCCTCCTATTACGTATCTTACATACTGGATTATTGGTGTATGATCCTTTATTAACAGGACACTTACCAGCGGCAATTGTACACCCACGGCGTATTGTTACCCTTGTTCGTCGGGGCACACAAGAGACCATAGATGATGTTTTTGATGCGTTGTGGGTTGCCTCGCGTCGTTATCGCTGCCCGGATGGTACACGGTATATTAGCACATCAGAGTTACAACATGCCATGGAAACAACAGATGCCGCTCTTGCTGGTGTGGAGACGGCGTTAACATCGCAGGAGTTAGAGGCATTTCTACACTTTGTCTGTGATACTGGGATAGATCAGGTGCGGGAGGATACCTTTGCACTTGCGGCGATGTGTGGATGTTAATAATGATAATGAAGAAGAAGAAGAAGGGGAATATCCTTTTGTTTAATAATAAAGGTTTTGTATGGAATGAATTTCAATTTCAATGTAATTTACCTATTGATATGGATGTTCCTTTGTTTTGTTTTTTGTTTTTTTTTCTTTGATATATATATATGATTTTTATATGTTTTCTTGTTTGCTTCTCTTTCTTTCTTTGTGTATGTAATCACGATGTATAAACGTAAATTAACACACATCTATTGCTTGTGTCTTTTGAGTCTTTTTTTTTTTACTGCATTTCTTATATACATTGTATTTGTTTTCCCTCTATTCATTTGAGTAGAGTGCAATGCACACATTTACTTCTTTTTCGGTAAAGAAAAAAAAAGAAATATCAAGATATATTTAATTTTTTTTTTCTTATCTTTCTCTTTCTTTTCTTTCTTATATTCTATAATAGATAGAGGAAAAACGGAAAAGGTAAGGAGATCAACAGAGAGAGAGAGAGAGATCCCTAGAAGGAAAGCAGAACGAAAAAAAAAATATATATATTTATATAAAAATAACTCATTGCTGAAATATGGATGAGCTCGCTAAACTTCTGAGAGGCATGGCGCCTGGTCAAATTGAAGAGGCTGTACAACTCCTGCAGCAGTACACAACAACAAACCGAGAAACAGAAAAGGGAGAAGAAACATCAACAGAGAATAACAGAAATGGAAATAATAATGGGAGTAATGCTAATAGTGGTATAAACGCAGTATCTCCTCATAATGATACGTTGAGTTCTGTCATTGCACTTGCATTACGTCAAACGACTAGTGGTAGTGCTGTTAATACCAATAATAATAATAATAGTAGTAATGATGATGATAATGATGATGATAGTAGTGTGAAGGAGGAATATGAAAATGAGGATGATATTCCATTGGCTCTACTATTACAATCAAGACAGGCGTTATCGCGAAAGAAGAGTAACAAAACAACAGCACGAAAGGAGGTTCCTGAAGATACTATAAAGAATGAATCCAATGATCAACAAGAAAACGAACAAAAACAGGGACAATCATCAAATGAAGAAACTCGTACACCCAATCGTAAAGGAGGAGGAGGAAAGTCCTCTGGAAAGGCATTAAGTGCCCAACAACAACAATCTCCAACCAATGCTGCATGTGGTCTAGCGAATTTTGGTTTTCTTAGCGCTGCTAAAAAGCCAACAGTGGCTTCATGTGATAAGAATAAACTTTTTACACCTTTCGTTCAGGACAAGAGAATTGTACCTGCTGCACTGCAGTTTTGGAATCACAAGAGTAATACCGTAAAGAAAGAAGGAGAAGAAGAAAAAGAAAAAGAAGAAAAAGAACAACAACTACCTATTTATATACGTGAAGAAGATGTATCGGTGGTAAGGCAGACTATTGCTGTGGATGAGGATACCTCTTCACTCATGCACTCTCCTGTATTGGTCACCGCTGAGAATGAAGAGAAACAGGAAGGAGAAGAAGAAGGGGAACAAGGAAAAGGAGAAAAAGGACAAAAGGGACAAAAGAAACAAAAAGGATCACAACTGCAGGGTGGACGTGGGCGTTGTTATACTTCTTTTGGAGATATGATAGATAGTGTTACCTATGTTGCCCCATCATTGCATTGTCCGTGTGGATTTCATGTTAACACGCCTGCTCCTCGTGCTGGTTTTTGCGATGAAGTAGTCTTCTGTGGTTTCTACGCTGTTGGTTATGATCCTTGCCAATCACGTCCTCCATACTTTGGTACACATAATAGTCAAGACTCTTATAATAAGGAGGAATTATTACGACTTGCCCGTTTCCCTGTTGGTACGAATATGCCGCAGATGTCAAATCTTGATTATCAATATGATTCTGGTGATGATTGGGATGTGGTTGATGGTGATGAAGATATTGGGGCTAGCAGTAGTGATAGTGATGATGATGATGGGGCAAGTGGTGATAGCAATAGCTGTAATAGTAACAGCAGTAATGCATTTATGGGCGATAGTGAAGATGATTTTATTAACGATAATGATGAAGATGATGATAGTGATGCGGAGTTGCAACGTAAAATGGTAGAAGCACGACAACGGCGTTTAAATCGATTACGACATAAAGATAAACTCGTACCAGCATTCAGTGGACCATTTGTGGGTATTGCCATGTTAGATCATCCACTGCGAGAGTATGATAGATTGGATCGTATTTCCTCCACACTTGACAGTTCTGCTTTTACAGCACTGTTGGAACAAGAACTGCGTACTATAGGTGCCATTGCCTCTACGGCTTCTACTCTTAATAATAATGGTAGTAATAGTAATGGTGTTAGTATTAGTGGTGGTGGTGGTGGAGATAAGATGAATGGTAATGATATTAATAATATTAATATTAATAGTCTTGCGATGATGGAAATGGATCTGAGTAATGAGGAACTTATGCAGCAACAACAGCAGCAACGATTACTAGCGGCGGCATTACGTAATAGACGGGAAATGCTTCCAGAAGAATTGGAAGCCTTACATGCTATTATCGCAGCGAATGGAAAGATATCACCCAAAGCGATTGTGGAAGCACTTCAACAACAACAATTATGCGTGGGTGTGGCACGGGCAGAAATACTTCGAACGATTTGCCGATATTATGAACGCAAACATAATACAATGGTGCGTCGTGATGAGCCGTGGTCAGCAACGGATGAGCGACTCTACGAAAAGCAACAGCGTCGTAAAGCGGCGAGAATTAACAAGAATAATAATAACAATAATAATGTTAATAATAATAAGAGCGATAATGGTGGGCGAGAGAAAAGTGGCGATTATCAGGGACAGGATCCAGTAGTAGCTAGAGCGACATCAGGTGGAAGAGGAGGATCGAATAATAATAATAATAATAATAATAATAATGAGGAGAGTGAAGAGGAAGATGGTGTGGAGAGCAACGAAGATAGTGAAGAAAATCTTTCATTAGTGGCACTTGCTACTAAGCGATCGCGCTCTGAGAGTCGAGAAAATAATAGCGTGTAGGACCTCTTCTGTTAAACTTAATTATTACTAGAACTACTATTACTATTAATATTTATTATATTAAATCATCATTACTCTTGGTTCTCGTAGTGTCTTTTTACGTATATCTACTTCACCCCATTCCTTCTGGGGGTGTCTGTATGAAAGAGAATTATTTCTGCTTTTGTTACTCTTTACTACTTCACTATTTCATACACACATAAACACACACGTACGTGGAAACACATTTTCTTTTTGGAGAAATGAAAAAATGATAATGTGTGGGTCGTATTGTGTGTGTGTGTGTAATTTGTGGGGCGTACTTGCACAGGCGTATAAGAACATATACATACATATATGTTAAACCTACTTCATAGACTGAAAAGAATAAAAGGAAAAGAAATATATGTTTTGTTTTTTTTTTCTGCTTCAGGGTATAAAAAAGCAGCTGAAGAGTTCCTGCTTTACTTGTGAGGTTCTTTTTTGTCGTCGTTCTCTTTTTTTTTTCGTTGTCGTTTATATTATTGTAATATATCCTTGACTCTTTTTTTTATTATTTTGTTTTATTTTTTACACTTCTTTTCTTTATTTATTTTTCATGCATCTGAATATGTCTAATTGTAATTAACAATGAAAAACAGAGAGAAAGAGATATATATAGAGAGAGAGAGATCGGAAAGATCAAGTTTGACAAATAAAAAAGAAAAATGGGAGCCGCTAATTCACAACCATCTGAAACTGACTTTAATGGTGACATGAATGCTGGAGGCATAACAGCAATACGGTGTGAAGGTTGGACAGTTCCCAAGTGTGTGCGTTCATGGTCCTCCTCCGCTGTGGTCTGTTCAGATGAAGTGGTGGTGCCACCGCCAGGACCCGATCAGGTGCGGGTGAAAGTGTTTGCTGCAGGTGTAAACCCTATTGATGTGAAACGCATTACATTTGGCGCTAGCGGTATTCGAGGTCTATTTCGATGGGGAGGAAGTAATGGTAATAATGGTAGTAGTAATATGGCTACTTTGGTGAATTCCAAACGACATCCATCACCGACATTTCCATTCCCATATGTAATGGGTATAGATGGAGCTGGTGTAGTGGAAAGTGTTGGTTGGAGTTCGGATGATACAGAAAGACAGCAAAAGTATAATTTGCAAGTGGGTGATCGTGTGGCTTTTTTAGCCGATATAACGAGTGCACATGGTGGTTCCTTTTGTCAGTATGCTGTGGTTCATGCAGATGCGGTGGGAAAGATTCCACCTCCAACGAAGGAAGATATTATTGATTTTGTAGAAGCAGCTGCAATACCAACGGCAGTAGGAACGGCATATGTGGCTCTCTTTGATAAATTATCTGTACAACCTGGACGCAGTATTTTCATTAGCGGTGCTTCTGGTGGTGTGGGTTCTGCTGCTGTTCAACTTGCCAAATACGCTGGATTATGTGTATTGGCCTCATGCTCTACTGTAAATGTATCGTATGTGCGAGAAGAACTCGGGGCGGATCATGTCTTTGACTACACCGCCGTAGATGTGGTGGAAGAGTGTCTTAAACGTACAATGGGATTTGGTGTGGATTATGTACTGGAAGTGGCAGATGCAGGACTTGCAGTTCAACATGCAGAGGCTTTACGATTTGGTGGATCTATTTGTGTTTTACCTGGTTTAATCCCACACACCAGTGATATCTTTTTTCGACAGCAATTAACATTAAGTTATGTCTGTCTCAGTGGATTATATGGACATCCAATTACACGGGAAAATGTGCGACGTGTGATTGAAGTATCATTGGCATTATATCAATCAGGGGCATTTCGTTTCCCATTATTAGAAACCGTACCTGTGGAGCGTGCGGAGACGGCATTGGAAATTGTATCTACTGGACATGCACGTGGGAAAATTGTGCTAACAGATTATCATCCTCCTGAAAATGAAAAAGAAAGAAAAGATTCTCAGGTGATTGGTACACGTCGAAGAAGTTCCATGAAAAAATATCATCTAGCAGGAACTAGTGCTAGCGCTAATACTACTGTTAATGCTGGTGCTAATGCTAATATTAATATTAATGTTGATATTGGTGCTAGTGCTACAACAGGACCAGTATCCACATCCCAAGACCCAAAGGTAACAGCTGCAGCACTAGCAGCAGCAGCACAAATATCAGCAATAGCTACTTCTTAATTTCAGTAGTTAAGGAGAAGTCTTGAGTGACTTTTTTTTTTTGTTTGCAGTTTTTTTTTTTCTTTTTTGATATATTTATCTTCCCTCTGAGATGACGCAAAACACAAGAAATAAATGGGGGAATGAAGAAGAAGAATATGGGGGAGTGTGCTTTGTGTGTGTGTGGGGAGCAAAAAAAAAAAAAACGGTTAGGCGAATAAGGTAGATTTCTTTTGCTTTTTGTTTTTCGTGTGTTTCCAGTATATGGATGACACTTCCAATATTTATTTTATATATATCTACATATATACTCTCTAAGTTTAGAGTGAATGGAGTTTTCATTACTGATGTCACAATTTTTTTTTTCTTCTTAGTTTGTTTTATTTTATTTTCTTCCTGATTTCTCTCTCTTGTTTTGTTTTGTTTTTTTTTTTCATTATCCTTTCGTGTTAGTAAATGCGGTTTTCTCTTGCGGCTGGAATAGCCAGAGTCAGTTTTAAGTCAAAGATACCCACAACAACCACAACACCACTTTTTGTTTCTGTACGGCGGTATGTAAATGTACTCTATCGTATTCCCCCAGAACATACTATTCCAACCCATAGTCCAAGTGGAGAGGAAATAGATACGGAATTATTTATTCGTCAATTAAAAGATCTCTTTTTGGCATTACGACAAACACAACTTGTAGAACAAGTTCATGAAATGCGAGCTTGTCCATATTATGACTGTCTTTTCTCTGCTGATATCATGTTTCAACATTATGATGTTGTATTACCTATGCCAAAATATGGACGAGAACATAGAAGTTCAGAAATGAGTGAAACTCTTCGATATTTACGAGCTTGTGGAGCAACTGGTGATTTTAATCATATATTACAAGATGTAAAAGGAGGTGCTGCAAGTGGTGGAGATTTTGTATCTACTTCTCATGGTATTTTTATGGCTTATGGAACTTCACGTACGAATAAACTTTGTATGATGGCTATAACTGGTGCAGGAGCTCCAAATGAAGCAGCTGCTGTTCAACAACGTTCATTAAATGTAGAACCTATTGAAGTAGATCCAGAAGCTCCTCCATTAGCGGATATGATGGCTTTTGCAGGTAAACGAACACTTATTGTTCATGATACGGTACATGGAAGAAAAGCAGCAGAAGCGGCATCACGTGCTGTATTAAAAGTACCATGGCAAATATTAAGAGTAGAACCTGGTTGTCATTTCCTTTCTCATCTTTGTGGTGTAAATGCGGTATATGATGTACTTGTAGATCAAGATTATCCAATCTCTATGGAACGTATTGGTGAAGCTGGTCTTAATCCTTTCCCTGTAGAATGGACAGAACCACGTAAACTTGGTATTTCTATGCGAAGTGTTTGTCTTATTGCCCGTTTTGCACGTGGTTCCATGAGTGCTGGAGGTTATGCGGATAGTGATGGACATCGTGCGGCTTCTTTTAATTATCATTCTCGTAATATCGCCAAGAATAGTCGTCTTTTTCAAAATGGACATCGTCGTCATGGTGATAGTGGTGGGCCATTGGAGGCGCAGTTGCGGTCTGGTGAATTACCAGAGCCAGTCTATCAACGGCCTCCTCGCTACGCCCCTCCTATGCACCGCAGTGGAGGTCTTGTCAACTCCAATGAGAAGGATTAAAAGGGGAATAATATTTTCTATTTACATCGAAGCGAGCATGGCGCAGTCGGCAGCGCGTGGGTTTCATAATCCCAAGGTCGTGAGTTCGAGCCTCACTGATCGCATTCTTTTTGGAAAATAAATTATTCCTCCTCCTTCCTCTTTCTCATAAACATGTACGTGGGGAGGGTGGGATGATGAGTAAAGGGGTTGAGATTTTGAGTTTGAAGAGGGGATCTATATATATATATATATATAGAGAGAGAGAGAGAATATCATATCCCTGTTGTGCGCAGCAAGGATGAGGATTCCTTTGGATTGCGTTTATCTGTATATATCGACAAAAATCAAAAAAAAACATGAGAAAAAAAATAAATGAAATTATTATCGTATTCATTAAAAAGAAGAGTATTAAGTCGTGTAAAAAGGAAGAATTTTTTAAATGATTCTCTCATGTTTGAATGTGCATTTATATATTTATTTTTATTTATTCTTTTCTCTCATTTTGAATCTTTTTTTTTTTAAAGGAAAAGAGACAGACAAGAACAATTCTTTTTTCTTTTTTTATGGTTTTTAAACTATCACAGTGTATTATTATTATTATTACAATTATTGTTTCTCTGCATGTCATGTGGTTTCTACTGTTCTTATCGTTGGGTTTATTACTCATTCCTTACGGTGGAACAGCAGCACCTATACCACCCTTTACCAAAGCAGAAATTCTCACAAAACCGGCAGTTAACAACAATAATAATGATACTATACCTATTGAACTGAATATTGTACTTAATTCTGATTTCTTTACAGAGGGAGGTACAATTAATCCCTTTGCAGAAGCAGAACTACGTCTCGCTTTTAATGTTCCTAATCCAGGATATGATATGATAGTAGCATTAGATACAAATACATATCCACGATTACGTGATCAATATGGTCATGAATGGATAGCAAAAAAACAAATTGCCTTTTCTTTTATTAAAGAGCAGACAAAGGTTACCTATAATACAGGAGGTATACCCGTTGTTACTCGGCATTCTGTTTCAGAAGAGGCTACGGTGCTAGAAGGAAAAATAAGTAATGATCCACTTTGTACAGCAGGAACATTGGCATGTTGTCCATCAACGGATGGGAAACATTACACACGATATGCACTAGTACAAAGCCCAGTTCCACCCTATCAATGCACCAATACTTCTGTTGTCTATGAACAGCCTTTATTTTCTTTTAATTATCATGCAATGGTTACGATTGGAGAAGAAAACGCGTCAACAAATTGCAGTATTTTGATGCAAATGGGGAATGAATCGAAACACTGTGAAGAAGAAAATGTACGAGTTTCTGTTAATGTTGTTTCTCAGGGTTTTGGATTTCCAGCAATGACATCTCCATTGTGTCGCTCTGGAAATAGTCTCACAGACACAACGTATAGTTCTCAACCTATTTTTGTTCCATTTTGTGAGACTTCTCAATGTGTTGGTTATACTGCAGAGAATTATCGGAATGACAGAAAAAGGTGCGGCAATTCGCCACTGGGGGTTTTCACTTCTGTGGATGGTAACAACACTAATCAATTCTGGTACTATGAGAGTGACTTTTCTTTCGGGAATCAGATTCCCAGATGCCGGTGGATGAATGATGTTGTCATGGGTCCTGGTAATACACTGGAAGAGTTAAGTGTTCGTTGTAATATGTTTCCTTCTTCTAATTGGTCCGTAACCCATCGTTTCCCAAATGTTAAACCAATTCTATATTATATAACCCCTTCTTTTCTTTATGGTCGTGCCAATCGAATAGAGGCACGCCGTACAGAAGATGGTAGTGTTACTGTTGATGTGGAATTTGTTTCACTTTCTCCTGCTAATGGTACATGGACACTAAAAGCCTGTTATGAATCTACAAATATCTGCAGTACCGTAAATTATTTTGTGAATGGTACGAATGAGTGGAATCCCATGCATATTCACACTCTATTACCACGTACATCTATTCTATCTAAAGAAGAAACTCAGAATAATAATCATAAAACGATTATGGTTCATGTGGAATGTATAGAAACGCCTTTACAAAGTCCATTTCGTTTCTTACTACGTGATACTCGTGTGATCATTGAACCTCTGTTAGCGATAGGGCCAAAGAAACATATTAATTTAGATTTAGCACGACAACCATATGAAGAAATCCCAGCACCACCTGGTACAAATGGTAAAATGCAACAATGTGTAGATGATTTCACCTTTTCTCTATCTACTGGTGAATGTGTACCTTTTACAGATGAAGAATGTCAAAAACGATATGATGGACGTCGTAATCGATTTGATATGAAAACACGTGCTTGTGTGGTAACACTCCCTCAACGTGTAGAGCCCATACGTGCGGTTCCCATTCCATTACGAAAAGCACCTGAGAAAACATTTGATCGTGCAGCTCAACGGCGTCGCTTGGAGGAAATACAGTTACCACCATGGATGAAGCCCATGAAGGAATTACTACGAGAGGCAGATGAGGCTCGGCAGTCTGGTATACCAATAAAAGAGGTAAAACCAGAAGTACAAACTCGAAAAAAACGTGCACCTCATATGGCGGTATTAATAGTAAATATTTTTCTTATCCTAGGTACTGTTTTTCTTCTTTTCCTTATTTGGAAACGTGAGAGTATTTTAAATTGGTTGTGTAAATGTTTACAAAAGTCTTCTTTTGAAAATGGTATCATTATGGAAGTTGTGCCTGCACGGCTGAGTACATACTTGAGTAACAGTGGTCCAAATGCACAATCGGGAGAAGTTGTGCGTATGGGAGTTGGATCTAATGTACGTTACCGTGCCCAACAACAACAGCATCAACAACAACAAGAAATGATAAGAATGATGCAACAACAACAACAACACCAGCAACAACAATTGTTGGCACATCAACAACAGCAGCAGCAACAACGAAATATTATGATGCATTTACAGCAACAGCAGCAACTGCAATTCATGGTACAACAACAACAACAACAGTTACAACCACAAATATCTCCGGTAGTTTATCATGATTTCCATACTGGAATAGTACCTACACCTACCCCAATAATGGTACCTCATCACGTGAGAGCAAAACATCCAAATGAACCGTACTCCACTGAAGATAGTTGAAAGCAGTAAACAGAGTAGTAGAAGGAGAAGGAAGTGGGGTGGGAAAAAAGAAAAAGTATTCCCTAATGACCATGTCTCATAAAATTCTTTTTATTTATATTATCACTTTACATTTTTTATCTTCACATTCACATTTTTTATTTTTCACATTATTCTTTGTTTTTTTCTGGGGGAGGTGTTATTTTCACCATTTTATTATTCTTTTTCTGGGGATATTTGTGGTTTTTTTACTATTATTATTTTCATTATTACCTGGTAGAGGGAAAAATAATAAAAAGAGGTCTTTTTTGTATCTCTAAATATGGTATCTTTTGTAATAATTTGTTTTCTTCTTTCTTCACACTGTACCACTTTCTTCTATTTTTTCCAACTCTTTGGTCTTTTATTACTATTATTATTATTATTATTATTATTATTATTATTATTATTATTATTATTATTATTATTATTAAATTATAAGAAGGTTAGAATACACAATGACGACTGTTGTTAGTGAAACTGCAGATCGTCTTCTTCCGCATCTTATCGCGGAAAATGCGTCGTTGAAAACTATACTTGGTACCCCAGAGCATGAACGTGTCATGCAGGAAGTACTCCGGGAACAATTACAACGTTTCTTTGATGATGCGAAACACACATTAGAAAAAGCCTTGTCGCAGGATGTCGTCGTTAATAATGATAATAATAATAATAATAGTAATAATAATAATGATGGAGGAAATGAAGAAGAAGAAGAAAAAGAGGGCGAAGAAGAAGTGAAGGGTAAAAAAGTGGGTGGTGGTGGTGGTGTACATCGAGTAACAGCGCTTGCGGAGGCGTTACGGGTATTGGGATCGCAGAATGAAGAATTACTGCGACAGATGAATGATATACAAACACAACGAGTGGTGATGTTAAATGGAGAAATAGAATCATTAGGGCGTGAACGCGATGAACTGCAGTCTCGTGTGGTTCAATTGGAAGAAGAAGCCGCAGCCGCAGCAATAACAACAACAAAAACAGAAACAACAGAAACAAGTGGATTGGAAGAATCTGGAAATAATAAAGTGATACCTTTATTATCTGAATTACGTTCTCTTCGTGCCTCAGATGCTCTTCTTCGTCAACAAATGCGGGAAATGCAGGAACGAAGTGAGAGAGCCGCAGTGGAAACGGATAAACTTGCCAAGGATGGAATTCAAGCTTCCCTTAAATTACCACAATTACTTGAGCAAGTAGATCAATTACGTACATCGCTACATCAGGTGGAAATGGAACGTGATATATTTCGTATGCAGGTACAGGAAATGGAGGAACGAGAGAATGTACAACACTCCCTACGTGAGAAACAATTACAAGATGAGTTAATGTTAACCAATACAACGATGCAAACACTCTTTACTCGTACAGCTGCACTTGAAACACGTGAGGCGGAAGCTCAAACCGTCGTTACCGCACATCTCAAGACTATTGAAGAGTTAGAAAATACTATTAAAACACTACAGGCGCGAGAGACCGCCGCTGATGAAAGACTGGCTTCTAAACGACAACGTCTAGAACGTGAAATCTTTGATGATCCTGATTCTATTCGTCGTGAACTTGTGACGTTTTGGCGAGATGGACGAGAAGAATTACAGCAATTACGAGAAGAAGTCCAACAACTTCGGGCAAAGGAACGTTTACTCCGCACAACACAAGAGAAACTTACACAGATGGAACGTACGCGGTCTACAGTAACGAGTCGACTTGTAACACTTGCGGATGAAGTGGAACGTGTACGAGAAGAGAACCGTTCACTTCGAGCCCAATACGTTGGATTAGAGGTGGAGCGTGATCAGTTGTGTAAAAGCCTTGCCGATGCCTTAGCAACACATATGAATGAAGATGAATTATTACACTGTTGTGAAGTTATAAGAGATGCTGCGGCCAAATCCGCTGCAGCGAGTTCAAGTGTAGTTGCAGATCCACAAGCCATTCAACAAGCCATGCGACACTCACAAGAATTAAAAAATGAAGTAGCACAACTGACAAAACAGAAGGAAAAGTTACATCGCTATATTGCATTACGAGAAGAACGTGTGGCTGCTCTTATTACACGGGAAGCACTACAACCAACAGGGAATGACTTCACACATAGTAATAGTAATAGTAATAATAATAATAACAGCAGTGAAATGAGGTTAACCACAACAACAACATCAGGTCCTGATGGTTCTGTTCTTCAGGTTGTAAAGTGGGCAGAGGCCAGTGTAAATGATGCTCTCACAAATATGGAAGAAGAAGCCACTACAGAAAGTCATCTGCGGCGTCGTGAAACGTTTGCGAGTATGCAGCAACGCCTCACCGCGAGTGAACAACAACTGGAAGTGTATAAGAAACAATTAGAGGAAGTTACCGCAGCCCGTGATGCGGCGCAGGAACAACTTTTAGCCACACAAGAAGAAGCACGAACAACACTAACAGCACGAGAAACAGCCATGACAGAACTCTTAAGTAGTAATACATCTCTAATGCAATCTGTAGATGCATTACGGTCTGAAAGTCATCGATTACGTGAATGTCATGATGCGGCAATGAGTTTTGCACAAAATATGTCCACCGCATTTGTTGGATTGCAAGAACTCTTATCTAGTGAAGTGAATTTCGCCGCAGCTCTTCATCATGCCCTCAGAGAAGAACGAGCAGAGGTGGTGGAACTCACACGCCGTACGGCAGAAGCATGGGATGCTCATGAAGGTGAAGTTCAATCGGTTCTCCACGCGGTGGAGCGAATGTCTAATTACATACAAGAAACAGCAGAACAGCAGCAGCGTACACAAACATTGGAAGATCTTGCCCATCTACGTCGTCTCACAACATCTGTAGAGGAACAAGAGGAGCGATTAAAAGGAATGCAAGAAAGTTTTACAGAATCATGTCGTAAGTTTGCAGAGGGATTAGCACACCGTATTGCAGAGGCACAGAAACGGGGTGAAGTGATATGGGAAAAACGTACAGCTGTATTACAACAGGAACGTCAACATCTACAAACACAACTTGGAGCGGAAAAAGATATTCTTGCACGTATTGAACGTTCCTTAGTGTTGGCTCCTATAGTACAAGAAAGTGTTCCCCTTACTTCCTCTACCGCTGCGGTAACAGCTCTATCCTCTGATGGGAGTGAAGGTGTTCATCAAGTTATTGAGGCAGTGAATCAACTTCTTGCAGCAACGACTTCTCAACAGCAGACAGGAGGAGTAACCGTAACAGCAAAGGATGGGCAAGAAGAAGAAGAACAACAACAACAACCAGAGGAAGAAGAGAATGAGAAAGAAAAAGAAGAGGAAGAGCAACATGTTGCTGTTGATGAGGAAGAGGAGAGATTGGGTGACACAGTGCAGGGAGCACTTGGTGATGAAGAAGGAGTTGAGGAAAATATGGCAGAAGAGAATGAAGAGCCAACAGAATCTACATGAAAAGGTTTGAAATGAAATAAAAACCCCTTCTCTTGAAATGATATTTTTGTATTATGGATAGATTTCTTTTCTATTGGGTGATTTATTTTTACTTTTGAATTATTTCATTCTGTTTTATTATTATTTTTTTTTGTATATATGGTTTTCTTCTTTTTTTGTTTTTCTTTTTTTCTTTCTTTTTGATTTGTTATTATTTTGTGTTAATTTACATATAAGTCTATCTATATAAGTGGGGAAAAGGTTATACAGCCAATTGATAGGACCAAAGACCCCCCTTGAGCTAGAGTGGATAGTACTTGAAAACTGAAACTCTGTATATGTACTTGTGTTTGTTGTGTTAGGCCTCAGGGGTTAATCATATTCAATGAAAAAGATCCAATCTCTTTCATTATCTCTGCTGCAGCAACAAATTGCGGATTTACCCTTTGATGTGCTTATTCGGCGTATTCATTCTAGTTCGCAAAAAAACATATCGCGTTCTCTTGAAGCTCATTTTCTAGGTCAAAGACTTCATGAAAATTATGGAGGAAATGGTGCCCCCTTTCATCTCAAAACAATTACACCATATAATATTGCAAAAGAAGTAGAAAAAGTATCAAAAACGAAAACAGAAGAAGAAGTTTCATCAGTATTAGTTTCTTCTTCTGAACTTCGAGAAATTTTAAGCCAACGACTTCTTTTGGATGTACAACAGTCTAGATCAAGACTAAAACTGAACCTTGATGATCTTAGTTTAATTCTAGCAAATGCAATACGACACAGATTTTCTTTTGAACTTACAAATACAACTTTAATTCTCTTTATAGAAGCTTTAAATAATGCCAAAGGTGTAGAAAATTCTTCACGGCAGGTTGAAGCTCTTTCTCGTGTTATGGAAGTTTGTTGTGATGAACTTGATCAGTGTAATACTATAACATGGGATGCTGTGGCAAATCTTGTAGTTACTGTAGAACAACGGTGGTCTCTGTTTACCAAATCAA